GAACTTGAAACCTTCCAGTTTGAAATCCTCAAAACCAGACCAAGATCTCATTGGCAAATAGCAAGAGCATAATGATTATTGTTCACTGTTAATATTTAAAATTAAAAAAAGGGACCCTATTTTTCTTTTTTTTTAGCACTAGGTTAAGCTGAAGAGAATACCTGTACTTCAACAATGGTTGAACTCCTCAAAGAATCCAATATGAACCGAATATCAGATGTCCAATACTTAACCTGCGAAATATAACAATAAGCAAACCTAAGCTGTGCAAGGAATCTGAAGCTATCATTTTTAAAAAGCTGAGGAGCATCACATCTAATGAATTCCCAAGTGCCAATACTGTGTAACGTTATTTACTAACTTTTCCCAAAAAAACAAAGACCAGGTGGCAAAGGTGGTTATCACATTGCACATGTAAACTAAAGCCTTTAATGGTCATCCTCCAGAAAAAAAATGTAAAAGAGCGCATAAGTCAAGTCAAATGCCAGACAGGTAACTGGTATATCCAGCATGACAAATTTCAACTTAATAGATCATTCCAAATCATCATAAGACTAGCAAACACATGAGACAACCACCATAGAAAATTTTAGCAGAAATCTCCAAGTATATATTATACTAATTTCAGCTACAAGTTTACAGCTGCAAATAACAATATAACATTGTAACTACTTACACCAAGCAGTTAGTTGTTGTTCAGGGACTAGGAATATAATGCAACATTTTAATCTGTTCCAAATTTACTTAACACCAAGAGTATATGTGACAAATGCTTTTTAACACACACACACACAAGTTTGCCACTTTGGCTAAAATTAAATAGTTTTGTAAATAACATGTTTAATAGTCAATAAGATGAGTAAATGCTAACTAGTCCACCTAAACACCCAAAAAAAATTGCTTCGTTAGTCATCAATAACTTACACGTGGAAATCCCGCTATCAAAGAAATTGGGACCCAGCCCTGCTCATCCATGTTAGACTTCAAAAAGTCGTCTTTTACCAAATTAGCATCACTGCAATAAACAGTTCACCAGTGTACAGCTTGAATAACATCAATGAGGGACATTTAGAAAATCACTAAAGTAACAACCATAACGGCAAGGATTAGATGATGACATGAAATCACCTGAAATAATAATCTATTTGATGTACCAACATTGCGCGAAGGAAATGTTCTGGAGGATGCACAAGCATTGCTGAAGGTGGGGCAATATATGGGGCACCCCTGAAGGTATCAAATGGCATTGGAGGGAGAAAAATGATTTCTGAAGATGAAAAAGAAATTATTTCTACATCCTGATAAACAGAAACAAACAGACTGTTAAAATAATTAACGTACCAGGATATGCAGTGGGATTCCCAAAGGGTCTCACAGGCTGAGGAGGAATAAAACTGGGAGCACTTAGTGGTGGAGGTCTTACTAAGCCCCTAGGTTGACTTCTTTGAGGCTGAATGTGAGCATCTCTAGTATTGCCATAATTTCCACGGTCCTGATTGCGCCTGCCAAAACTATTTTGGTATGAACCATCCCCTCTTCCATAGCTGCCTCTCCGAGCGGAATGCCGAGGATCATTACCAACTTGTGGTTGAGGAACAAAACCACCTGTTGGTCTGTATTGAGGCTCTTGAAGGGAAGGATCATGCATTACCGGATAAAAACCACTATAAGGATTAGCAGGCATTGGCATGACAGGGAATGGTCGGCGTGGGGGTGGCAGGGGTGGCTGAGAAGGGTGTGTATGTGTGAAGCCACCCTGCATAGACCCACCACCAGAGCTATTGCCCCCACCACTGCCACCACGTCTAGAGTTTCTTTGACGACCTGACGTTCCAGCCATTGTACGGTTTGGCATCGAATTAGGGTTTGCATTAGTAGGAGCTTGCCTATGAGCTGAATGAGAGTTTGCAGGTCCCTATTATTAACACAATCATACAAGAATGTCAAAAGAACAATCAGCTTAATGCAAGTTCAAAGAAAAAAAAAAATTACAGATCATGCGGAAGCTTAAAAAACTAAGGACATAAAACCACTAAGCTAATCGATAGCTTAATTCAGGTAATCGCTGCATAATCCTCGACAGGGATATACTTAAATATTCAAAATTCCTTCCCTCTTTGCCTAATTTTCTAGGCAACCAAACACAAATGCAACAGAAATACAGAGAGCAAACCTGAGAAGTAGAGGCCGATCCATCCGAAACGTTTCTGGAAGAACCATCAGCTGATGATCTTGTCGAAGCCCTGGCGGATTCAGATAAAGCAGGCCAAGACATAGCTCCCAAAGGACTAACTTCCATCACGCCGTTTGACGGCTTGTTCCAAGCTGCCTTTTTGGGCCGACCGCCTGCATTGTTGCTATTCGAATCAGAACCATCCACCGTCACGTGATTATCAGGTGTCTCCGACATTGGAGGAGGAGATGACTTCGACGAAGAAGAATCAGCAAAGGCGCTTTTCTCGGCCACAAAATCAGCAGGCGGAGACGACGAAGACGACGACGGAGAGGAAGGAGAACGATTAACACCTGAAATTGACTCCGGCCGTCTAACCACTTGCACCCATGGAGACGGCAGATTTTGTCCGCGAAACTGAGGACTATTCACAGCTTCACGCGGCGAGTGACGATTCGAAGAAGAATCAGCCGTCACAGCCATTCAAATTAGGGTTTTCGTATTCAAAACAGAATCGCAAGAACAGGATTAAGAGCTATAACAGAAGACATTAATAGAACAATTAATCTAATAAAATCGGTTAAACTAAAGAGAGTATTAATAACGAAAAAAAGAAAAAAAGAGATTAAAAGAGAAGATTAGGATTTGTTTAAGAAGAATGTAGGACGGAATCGGAAGATGGATCTAAAACTCTCTCCAACACACGACTGAGAGCCGCCGGAAAAACAAAAACCAGGTATCTTCCACTCCTTGGGTTTTGTGCCTTTTTTAGGAAGCAGGAAGAGTAGACGCGCTGAATTTACCTAAAGAGAAAAAATTAAGACGCGCTGAAATTACCAAAATACGTGCGACGTGTTTTTACCCTAAGGTACTAACAGGGGCCACGAGTTCAGTTCAATAGACCCCATTGGGCTTTGAGATGGGCCCAATTTTGACTCATCCTCTTTAACTTCTTTAGCACTTCGCACTCTTTGAGTTTTCGCACAAGTTGCATCTTTCTCATCGTGTAACGGAGATCTCCTACAAATAATAAAAACACTAATTAATGATATAATCTTTTTTTCCTAATTAAAACCATCACGTTTCATAATTTTTTAATTAAAGAAATGATTTTTATAAATGTATTAAAATTAGATTACGTGAAATCTATTAAATATGTAAGTGTATATGATCATCTAATTCATTTATGGTATGATTATAAAAATCACATGGTTTGTTAAAACCTTTTTTAAAAGTGGTAAGTTTGATTTATATATATATATCGTATAAGATGCTTCTCACAGAGACTTTATAAAAATAAATATATTAGTAGTGACAATATTGTGATTGTTTAGACCAAAAAGTGAAAAGAAAAAATTAATTAAGTTCTATTACTCCAATAACTGTTTGGTCTATTCTAAATTTCTTGATGCATTGACTTTAGTTTTCTTGAAGTTGCATGATGTATCTTTCCTTATCGAGTCAGATTCAACCAAGAAAATTCAAACGATCTTTTGCGGTGGCAGGAATCATTGGGTAATATTTTTTTTTCTTTGTGGGGCATGCATGGGATAAACCCGTTGAATTGCATTATTTCCCTTTAATTTTTGTAATGAAAATTAAATTTCCCACAACGGTCACGCTAGCTTCAATTGACCATGAGAAAGGAAGGGGCAATTGCCTATTTATGCAAGTCTTGTTTCCAACTTCAGGAAAGAGAACGAAGGTAAAGGGTAATGTGACAGGAGTTAGGATTGGTAATGTTATGAGTACAAATTTTTTTTTGGATAATAATTCATATAACATAACATGATATTAAAAAAATAGTTATATATTAGTTCATAGATTATCTTTAAATAAAAAGGGTTATAATAATTATGTTAATAACTTAAATCATTTAATGATAATTATCTTATAATAAAAGTTAAAGATTTTGAATTTTAATTACATAACATGCAAATAAGGTATGACTAAACAAATAAAATAAATTATCTCTTATTATAAATATACGCACACACACACATATATATATATAATTATTTTGTATCAAAAATTGTAGAAAACAAGGTTTTTTTGGCCAACAATGGGGATTTAATTTTAGCAATATTGATAGTTAGCATATTCTTTAACCATTAGCCATTAGATCATTTCAAGATGGATTTCCATACCTTTATAAAATTAAAATTAAGAATAATAATTGAGGGACAATTTTTTATTTTTGTACAAATTTATATATTATCTAATGATGATCTCTTTTTACTTTAATAGGGTTTATGATATTATATATATTTATACATTTAATGACACATAGAGGTTTTATATATAAATGTTGTAAAGTTGTAAAAATTGTGTGTGTGTATATACATATATGTGAGGAAGAATGTGTATATATATATGTTGCCTTGGGCTCAGCACTCTTTCCAACACCTCCAGCGGGTATTAATATGATCCTCTATAGTGATTTTATAGGGACTATGTTCCTCAAGATGTAAGCTGAATAAATAGCATATGATGTATCAAAAAATATATATATATATATATATATGTTTCCCCAAAAATCCTCAATCGATCTTTACCACGTGAGTTTGGATGTTTGGTGTGCCACTTGTTTTGTCTAAAAACAAAACAACATGCCATAAATATAAATTCACAGACAACAGGAAATGTAAAATCACAGATAACGATTTCTACTATGCAATCCATAACAATTAAACTTAATTACTTGTGGATTTAAAATAAAAATAGCTAAACTACTTGATACCTAAAACTGAAGGAGAATCTACGAAATAATTAAAGTCTGGAAACTTATGAAATTAAATCTGAAAATTGAAATTAAATAAATTGCATGTCTGGTTATTGTGCAGAAACAAAAGAACAAAGGCAGAAAGCATTCGACATATTTACATGAACAAATAACATAACTAAATCCATAAAAAAAAGAGGAACTAACCAAATCAACATGGTAGACCTGTTTTGTAGGCTGAGTTGTTTCCCAATGCTTAAAAACTAATTTAAATTGAAGTATTTGACGAAAGATATGAACAAGGATGGAAAAACCTAAACTAAGGCTATGAACAAGAACAGATTTTGCAAACTAATCTGGAAACTATTGTTGAAATTTGGTAAAAGCAATCTGAAAGTTGAAAAACATGCTCTGGGCAATGTGTGTAAGGCAGACTGTCTGGAACTGATCTCTTCCTCCTATTTTCCTTTTCTTTGGTGCTGGGAAACCTCCTCCATGTTTCTCGGCCCTCTCCCACCATGATCAAGTGGTGGGGGTTTCATGTCTAACATCTATTTGGCAGTTAACAGTTTTTACTCAATCTTATCACCAATAAAATCCTAGAGATAACCTCATCCTAAAAACTCTCAACTTCCTAAGTTAAATCAAACTCAAATACCATAAGTTATTTTATTTTCTGCCACATGAAATCTAGCTTCTTTAAAATTCTGTTTGGGCCTTTAAATTGTAATCCTGCCTAGCCCAAATCCAACTTGTTAACTTTTCTTTATAATTTGACTTTAACTTGATACGTGGCCTTCTCTCATTGGTTTATTTTAGGTGTAAACAATATATATATAAAGAAAAATCCAGTCACATACAATTTTACATATTATATTTATATAAAATTTTGATAATTTATCCATCCATTATTAATGGTTAATATTCATCACAAATTTTTAGATAAAAATAATTATTTTTAATAAATATAAATAAATCTCTTTTATTAAAAATAAAAAAAATTGAGATTTTATATAAGTGTGGTGAATAAAATTTATGTATAATTAGATTTTATTATATATACCATCATTATCATCATCATTACCTTAATAAATTAGACTAGACCCACTCTCCTTTATAAAGTATAAACGTAAG